CCACACTCCCATAGATTTGTATGTCATGTGCTGCTATTTATAGGCACTTATATATATATATATATATATATATATATATATATATATATATATATATAGATTAGACCGTTGGTTTTCCTGTTTGAATGGTTTTACACTAGTCATTTTTGGGGCCCTTAATAGCTTGCTGTTCGGTGTGAGCCAAGGCTCCGTGTTGAATGCCGTATTTTGACCTATAATGGTTTACTTTTACAAACTGTGACTTGGATGGAGAGTTGTCTCATTGGCGCTCATACCACATCTTCTTATATCTATGATATGCTTTCTCCGGTGGTCAGTCATAACTGCAATTTGAAACATAAACTATTTTCATTATGGTGTGAACTTTTTAAGATATACTCTCCCAAAAAAAAACGCAACATGTGAACAAGTATAATTTACTTCGAATTTTTAACATCGTTTTATATACAGAAATGAGCAGCGTCAATTATTATCCTAGTCATCCCACAGTTGTTCCGTTGGGTTCAAATCTGGTGATTTGGACAGCCAGGGGATCACTGCAACGTTCTGGTTGGCTCGAAAGTCAACAGAGGCGCGAGCTTTGTGAGGTCGAGCGTTTTCGTGCTGATAAATTTCCTTAAGATGCTCATTACGTGCAGCATTTGTGGTGTCGAAACATCATCTCTGTATCGAGCGGCGTTAATGTTGTCGGGGATGTGCACCTGTTGAGTTTTAGTGTGTAGGGTAAGGCACCCCACAACAATACACTTCCTCCGTTCCTTGTGTACCTCTCATTCCGGCGTCAGTAGGCAACTGTACGACCATCTATTCTCTGCTGCATGCATCTTGATTTATCGCTTAACCAGACTCGCCACCAGTTTGCAGGTTCCAGCCCATATTTGTTGCACCATCGGAACCTTGCAAGTCGATGACGGAGTCTCAGTACTGCGCCTAAATAAGGACGTTTAGCGCGTAAGTCGGTTTTGCGGAGACGGTTTCTGACTGTCTGTGCCGATATTCGTCGGAGACCTGGGACATTTGTTACTGTCACGGTTTGGTTTTCAGGTGAAGATCCCGGATGTAGGGATCTCCGGCTACTGATGTGATTCTAGGTCGACTAGAACGTTGACGGTCAGCTGTTGAACCGGATTGCTTGTACCGTTGCAAGAGTCTGGAAATCGTGCTCCGGAGAACATTATAAAGTCTAGCGACTGCATTCTATGATTTACCGGCCTGGAGACGACAACTGACGATGTATCGGATAGCTGGGTCTGCTTAAAGATAAGGAATGATTTCCCAGAAAGGTCACGTGTGATCAACACCCACTTTCAGGGGTTTGGATTCAATTACTAGTATCAGACATCTAAATTTTAACATGATCATGTTTTCTTGTCTCAAACACACTTTTTTGAGAACATTCATATTTTGAAGAAAAACATATTGGTTCATGTTGCCGGTATTTTTACACGTAGGTGTAGAGTGCATAGAATTTAAACCAATCCATTATAGGTAACCTATTGTAAGAAGATTTTTATACCTTACCAATTACGCCTTAGTTTTCAGATGGAAGTCAAAATTGTATTGATAATCCCGACTACCATCTACTTTTAATTGATTTTTTACTATATGTAAATCCTGTAATTCGTTTTGGTTACTTTTCCGGCTTTGGAGATTTCACTTTGGTGTCCTCTTTTTGTCTAGTTTTAGAGACATCAAGGGTATGAATAACTTTTCCATTGAAATATACATATTAAATAGCAGAGAACGCATCCTCATTTGTACATATGTGCGTATGTTATATTGTGGTTTCATAAATATATTATCAGTGTTTCTGTTTAGTTGTGTATTGTCCTCAATCTGACAAAACTGTAGTTACGTCGTAGAGATCTAAATTATTTTTTTATTGATTGCTTGATGCTTGTCCATCGTTTAGAGGCAAACTAACTTGCATTTTTTAAATACTGCAAAGGCATTCTATGTATCATTTGCTATATTTCATTGTTTAGGCCATGCATTAGTGAAAAGAGGAAAACTTAACCATAGGTTACAGACAATGTACATACCAAACATTTTATTTTATATTTAGAGCAAAATATAGGTTAGAGAAATCAATTCTGATGATAAGGGAGCGTGTAAATTTCATAAAGCTTCTATAGGTATGTAATATAATACGACATGTCAGTGCATTCATTGTATTCGTGCAGCATACAATTATCACCTAAAGGTGGAAGAAAGGTTGCTGCAGGTAATCTAGAGTTAATCACAAATATAAATCAGGTCGTTACCTTTGTTCATGCAACTATAAAGAATGGCATGATAGCACGAATTAAACCGTCTATACATAGATTTCTCTTTTTTTTTTCTTTTTTTAATATTGTTTCGATTCGTGCAGTCACTTTTACAAAATAAAACGGATTAATCACCCTTAACTATTTCATATTGATGGCATTCAGATATTCCTCAGGTATACAAAAATAGTAATTTCTTTTTGCATTGTTTTGAGTGTGCAGTCTCATTTATACGAAATGAAACTTATTAATCACCCCTGACTATTTCATATTGATGGCATTCAGATATTCCTTAGGTATACAAAAATAGTAATTTCTTTTTGCATTGTTTCGAGTAATGCAGTTCTCATTTATACGAAATAAAACTTATTAGTCACCCCTGACTATTTCATATTGATGGCATTCAGATTTTCATTGGGTATAATGTACAAATGACAACAAAAACGAGATTTGGGCACAATTTGAGTCATGTGTAGACGAAACGCACATCTGGTGTACTAAATAATAAGCTTTGTATATTTGGTGAGTTCTTAGATATGACAAATATCTGGAATATAGGTTTTTGCTTTTAATGTAGGTCAAGGTAGAATGTGGTAGGTCCGTACAAATATCGTTTTTTTTATGAAAGTTATAATGTCAGAATGAGTAGAGTGAATTAATGTATAGCTATTACATAGCTTTCAACATTTTTTTTAGTTGTAATTTGTTTTAAATCCACCGGTTATACCATTTTGAAAAATTTTAGTCATACAGTATTACTCATTTTTGTTCATATTTTGGGAAAAAATATTTACGAAGGATAGGAACTAAGACCAAAATTAATGAAAGAGCACGATTAAAAAAAGAAGTTCCGACCAAAGGTTATTTGCATAAAGAATAAAATGGAATATTGTAAACGGATTTAAATCAAAAGTCAATAAAATGACCCTGTAGAAAGAAATTCGTAGTAGGATATCTTTTGGCCTATATCAATGGCCTTAACTATGACAGTTAATGACCTTTTACTCTGTGCAGATCAATCGGAAAGTTTGAAAATGGAATGGGAGCTTACTTTCGCCATTCTAAACAACAATATACAGTTTGAAGTAAATTGATCTAAGCATAGTCAAATAAGTGTACGACATGTGATAGTTTGCCTTTAGGTTGATGGTTAAAGTCCCATAACTCTGGAATGACTGACCGGAATGATTTCAAATCCTAGCTCAAAATAATGAGTCAAGTTTGAGGTATGCTCTGCGAACATATATGTACTGCAGTTAATGTGGGACATACGAAAATTGCCTTGAATCTACCGTATAAAGTCCAATAACTTTGGAACGATAAACTAGAAATATTCAAATCGATGAGAATGTTACTTTTTCCAATCCCAACAACAACAACATAAAATATCAAGTAAATCAGACTTGTTTACTACTCACGGAATCAATCCGAGCATACAAAAATCGTTCGTTTGAGTCCCGTATTCAGGAACGACAAAGAATCAATTGAGAGGGAGATTTTTTCCATGATTCAAATATTCAATACTGGTACAAGTTCCAAGATATTTGACCAAAACATGTTCTAGCTTTAGTACCACGTGTGGAAGCCAGACAGACGGGCGGACAGACGGACAATGATATACCATAATTCGGCTCATCTATGACGGGCGTATAAAGCACGATATACCTGCTACAATGTATAATTATGTTGAAAATAGTATTTGTAGGTTATTGTTATATTTCCAGTAGGTTTTGCATATTAAGGAAGTATTCAATCCATATAGAAAAGCCCATGTTTAACAAGTTAATTAGGAAAACATAATGTATGAAAAAAGGATGCTTAAAGATAACTTTAGTGCAATGTCAACTACGCCCATCGAAATAAATTTTTTGTTAGGAAAATAATTAAGTATCATGTTTTTTTCACATATTGCATATCTTTTGAATAAAGTAAGTTGTGATTATTATGAAAATGTGTATGATTATGGCAAGAGTATCTCATGGAACTGAATGAAAAACTGAAATGTTCTACGAACAGCTTTCGATAAATGTAAAGTGTTACGTTGGTATTAAAAGCTGTTGAATATGTAAAGTTTATAAATAAAATTGAGAATGGAAATGGGGAATGTGTCAAAGAGACAACAACCCGACCATAGATCAGACAACAGCCGAAGGCCACCAATGGGTCTTCAATGCAGCGAGAAACTCCCGCACCCGGAGGCGTCCTTCAGCTGGCCCCTAAACAAATATGTATACTAGTTCAGTGATAATGGACGCCATACTAAACTCCAAATTATACACAAGAAACTAAAATTAAAAATGATACAAGACTAACAAAGGCCAGAGGCTCCTGACTTGGGACAGGCGCACAAATGCGGCGGGGTTAAACAAATGAATGTTTTGGTACTGACAGATGACGTTAGCTTTTGTATTCTGGTGACAAATACTGATAAACAGATATTCAATGGGGTTCTTATTATCTAAATGACTAAACTTTTTCTTCTATTTTTTTACTTTCAAATGACACCTTGAAAGCATACAAAACTTAAGGACTAATACTATTGATTTATCTTGTATAACATCCGATGAATTTTTAATTTACTTGTGGGAATTTCCAAACTTGAGAATAGGTTTGAAAATGAAACTATGCATTATTAGATTTTACCAAATGTAAATTAAAACATTCTTAATGCTTGCTCAACTTCACTTTTTATTAACTGAGAATTTACGAATTTCAATATTTTTTTAATTACAGAATATAGCAATGATACCAACTGTATGAAGTTCAAATTACCAGAAGAATCTTCACCTGGGAATACATTACCTGGTGCAGATGTGTTCGTTTATATAACAAATAGGCGGAAAAGACCAGACGGCAAGCGAGGTAGACGAAGACGGAGGAGAAAGCGGCAAAGAAAAATTACTATTAAAGTTTCTTTATTAAACGAGCAAACCCGCCACAAAAAGTTCATATCTCGTTTACGCTTTCGTCCTAATCCAGATAAAAAATGGAATAAATTAGTATTGCCGTTTTCGGTAATTAAGAAAGCTAATCAATTAAAGGAAAGAGTTTTAAATCTTTGCATTGATTGCAAAAGATGTAACAGAAACACTCAAATTATTTTACCACTCAAGACATCAAAGAAAAGACATAAATTTATGAAAACAAAACACTTAAATAAGACGGGAAAACCATTAAAGCTTCGAAAGAAAAGGCCATTTTTAATGTTTCATAAAAAAAAATCTATACAGAGACAAAGGCGAGATACAATATCATGTAATAAAGATAATCTTGTTAATCAATGTTGTCGTTATAAAGAATATATACGTTTCTCCGATATAGGCTTAGGCGACAGGGTTGCATATCCAGATGGTTTTTATAAAACCGAGTGCATTGGATCATGCTCACACAATTCCACTAATGTAGACACAAACTCGACAAATTCTAGACAGTGTTACCCAAGTAAATATAAACCATTACAGACGTATTTAGTTTTCGACAGTAGTGTTACCTTTTTAGACATTCCAAAGGGACAGATTGAAGAATGTACCTGCCACTGAAAAAGACTAACATATTTTCGGCGTTGTTCTCTTCATGAGCGTATTGGTTCGATGTAGCACGTTTGATCTCCAGAAAGAGCTGATACTCTACAATTGCTCCAAAGGAACACAGAATAGAGCATTTGAGCTGATACAGCTTGCAGAAATATAAGATCTATGCGGATATTGTGTTTCATTGAGCAAGATTTGCTTTGTAGCGATATACATTTATGTTCTAAGATGATAAATGATACTTTCAGTCTTTGCTTTAAATAACTATGAATATGGCTTCAAAAACACGATTCATATCAGCAAGCAAGTTATGTGATCTCCAGATATTAAGAGAAATTACATTTTTGTTTTCTTATGGAAGAAAGACCAACATTCCGAATAAATAAAACAGCATCGACTGATCAAGAAAGTTGCGCAAAGTTTTGCTTAGAGTTGTCGTATTTTTCAGGCGACTTTAGGTTTAGTCAAAGGCGAGTCAATTTTTTTTTCTGTAAATTGCAGTATTATTGTATCTGTACATGTGAATGTTTTGTTTAAAAATCATAGAACCGGTGAACGTGTTACTGTGCCTGTTTTCGTATCTTGAACGTTTAATAGTATAAACTGCTTTATTTACATACATTGTATTGCATGATTATTATGCGGAATCTCATTTATTCCATAACGCGAATGTATCCTTCGTTTAAGCAGCTCCCATCAAAGCAGAATACAAATCCAGCTTTTGTTTTTTTTACAAGAGTTTTTCCCGATGAGAGGACAATCCATTCCTTGCATTTACAGGAGGAACTGATATAAAAGGTGTTGAATTTATTTTGTTATGCTATAACAGTCATATACAAATCACGAAAACGCGATTTGTAGTTGTGCTTTTAACAAATTATTTTAACATATCTTTTCTAAACAGACTATTATATTGAATTGATGGAAAGCTTTCATTTTTGTTAAGTTTCGAAATCTAAATTTCTTCAAACTTAATCGTCATTTGAATAAAGATTTAATTTATTACAGAAAAATTATGTTTTGAATTTTGTTCACATTTTCGTAATTTTCTTTTTCTACCTCTGTTGATTAAGTTGGCATTTGTCAACTTTCAAATATTTCGTGTACCAAAAACTGTAAAAATGACCTTGATATAAAAACTTAAAGGCGATTTCCCCATTGTCCGACAACATGGTTTGAGCCATTGGAGATTACAGAACTTCCCTTATGAAACACACGACGATAACCTACCACGAAATATTAATGTCTTTTTTCATTGTTATCTTTCTGTTCTCAAGCCTATGTGGCAATGTTGTGAATTGAATGTCTATTAAAGTCTGAAAGTTTTACCTATATCGATTTACCTTGTAACGTTTAAGTTTCCTCGGCAGTATTCGAGCATTTATTATGCATGTGCATTTATCCGTTTGATGCTGGTTGACCTAGTTTAGAAACTAAATTTTCTTTTGTAAATGTATATATCTATCTACCAAATGAATGGTGAAAATTTTTTCCTATTTCGTTTGCAATTTGGTAATTATGCTCTTAAAGACAAATTTATTCTCCATCATAAACTTTTGTTGCTAAAGGAAGTAAAATTAATGTAGCGTCATTGGAACATCTGTATATGCATGATCCAATACTAAAGTTGTCAACTCTTTATCTATATTAAATATAGTTATGATTTTTTTTCAAGCGATTAAAATCACAGCCTACTTGGCAATGTTGCTCGAGGAGACAGTTCATTAGCATGAATTATTAAAACCTTTGAAGTAATGCTCACGATTTTTTTGCATTTAGAAGTTTATTGATTGGACTTTTGTAAACGCAATATTAGTATTCATCTTCAAAATATTAACTGATAATTATTTTAATAGATAATTTACTAAACACGATCCTAATATATGAAGATGCTGTTGTCGCTATCGTTTTCAGTAAGTTAACGCTTGCTAACCGTAGTATGAAGACATCCAGGAGAGTCCCGAAAATCACATAAAAGATAAAACATGAAGCAAGAGTACGTCAAAAAAAGAAAATATACATGTATCCTACTGACTATTTATTCCGTGAACATTATCTTTAATAATAATAATTTGAAACTTAACCGATCATACAAATTGTCCAAATACCTTTAATATGATTAAATGTTTAAAAGTTTGATAATGGTTAATTATGTTTCAAGGATATCACATATTTAATTAACTATTAAGGTTACAATAATTACGCATCATAACGATTCGATTCGTCGTACGGAGGCACTAGGAATTATGACATTTCAATTGTATACCTTATCCAGAACTAAATTTGACCTCACCCCGAATTACAATTCAATTTATTGTGAAGATACTAATATTCATATATTTATAAATGAATTAAAAAAATACAAGTTCATGTACGTGTAGAGATATACGGGTTTTCTTTTAATATCTGGGTTGAAGACTTTGATTATTTCTTTACCTCTTCGTGACATTCTATTTTTCACTACGCCTTTTTATCGGACAACTTTTTGTATAGTATTTGATTAATGTATTTTTTTAAACAACTTGCGTGAAAAAATGTATTCTACTTTTTAATTTCCCCAGTTGATATTTTAAGGAATTACTAAGAAACTAAGATTCTAACTCCCTTAGGTAACGTTGACATAAGATGAATTTCGCTATTCTTTTTAGGTAACTTTTGGTCATAAAACTCCTTAGGTTTTTACGATTTTTTACATTCCTGGCATTTAAATCTTTGGGATTATGCGTTCCTGATGAAGGTTACATAAGGATTTCGTGCGTCGGAAGCCCTTTTCTGGATTTACCTTCATTAGGAATGCTCAAACCAGAACATTTGAAAGCCAAGGATATTTGAATACCTGAACATCCGAGTAACTGTTTAACCAAAAGGGACCTGAAAAGTATAGACAAATTCATCTAATTCTCAATGAAGGAGCTGTTACTTTAGTTTCCGAAATAATTTCTTAGTTTATCAACGGAAATCTTGTCATTGCCGAAGCACTTTGGTATGATTTTTAGTATCTATCCTTTTAGTGCAAATTTAGTGCATATCAGATTTTAATGCATAATTTGTAGTTTTAACATGTAACTGATTAGAAATTCAACGGATATAATACTTTTTCAGCAAAATTCGGAAAAGCGTTCATGTAAAAACTAGTTTGTAAATTTAATTTTTTACAGATATTTCATGTACAAATGTCAATATGTATTAATTAAAAAAAAAACAAAGAAGAGAAACTATATATTATTTATTTTTTATTTTTCATTAGATGACTTTATTTTTCTTATTTTTTTTAAAGATTGAATTATTTATGTCTATGCCTTAATGATTAACTTATTATTATAAATACTTGTAGTATGAAATTAGAGTTATTTAATTTTCTTGCCAGCAATCATAGTTTAAAAGAGACCTTTTTGTCACTCGAATATATGTTTTCTGGATTCATTTGCTATGCTATAATTCTTTAGTTCTGTTGAGCAGTTACCATATGAAAGAAATTGTTAATGAAGATAGGAATGATTGTTATCTGATGTAATGTTACATAGTGATATTTATTTTTATTGATGTGTCATGAGTATAAAGAAATGCTGGGTGTTGTATGTATGTCTTATATTTTTAAATTTAAGAAAATGAATGTTTCAAGAAAGGTTTACTTCTTTTGTCTTCTAATACTTGTAATTTAGTTTACACTTATTACTTTTAAATAATGTAATCTGCCCTTGACAGATTTTTTCTCAAACTGTTTATTTAATTTTTTTTTTTTTTTACTTCAACATTATATGATACAAATATTTAATATCCCAATAACTTACCTGCAAGGTTAATACAGAAATACTCCCCAGATTAATAACGCTTTGTTTTCTTTTGCATATCAGTACGTGTGTGTAGAAGTATGCATTTAATGATATTAGTATTCCCATGATGAGTAAACGAACACAAAAGATCATTTCATAATAGGGACGGACTCTTCGCATGAAGCAAAGAAATGACAACATACATTAAAATACGCAAACAGTGAAGAATTTATTGAGTATTAATATATGCAAATTTATGGGATGGATACTTGAAATAATCAATACAAAATGAACGCAAATATACAAAATTTTAACTGCAACGGTGTTAACATATCACGTTAATGTTGTCAATAAGATTAAAATCGAAATATTTAAATTATATATATGATTTTTACATTAATATTTTGAAAATACTCAAAGACCGAAGCACGAACATTTCAAAAATTTAGTAAAATCGTACGCTCTGTCTAAAATAACTGAAAACTCATATTTTTATTACTTAAGGGGTAAAAACTGACCCTTTAAATAACATAATGATTGAAATGTTCCATATAATAACAACTTCTAATTAATTCATAATCATGAAAATACAGTGAGAGCCCGTCAATATTCTGATATGGTTCGTTTCATAAAAGATTGTGTTATCATTTAATGATGTCAGTATAGAGATGTTGATTTATTTATATTTTGATGTTACTGTTTGATCACTTTGTTTCAGACAGAGATGTTCAAAAATAAAATATATTTATAATTTGAAGTTCCTTTTAATCAAAATTGAATACAAATTTTGAAGGACGTTTGTTTTAAGTTACGGATTTCAGAATCGTTTTACCTCCAGGAACGCTACACAGATCTTTGTCATTTAAGTTGTATACACACTTCTCCTTATTCTGATAGTAATTGTCCAAATTAGCATTAAGTACATTTAAAGGAGTATGTTTGTTTTAGTTTTTTAGTTCACACATTAACGACATGAACTTTGTCCTTAAGATGTTATAACCAAACAATAGAAATAAATAAAACGAGATGAGGATTACCGCAATGAGATAGCAACCGGAAGACACATAACATCATCAGGCATCCAATATTAATATTAACATCTTTTCCGCAAGTTTATTGTTTTCTGTTTGGTAATAATTTAATAATAAGATCTATTTTATTACATCTTGTGATCCGTTTATTTGGCAATCGCCAATGGCAGTCAGCAGGGTTTAAGAACATCAGTTGTTCAACCTGCTAGTCAAATGCGTTTTGTTAAAATATATTTTTTCACTCATTTTGGTCTTTTGGAAATTGTTGTTTGTGCTGTATTTAGACCGTTCTACCAAGAAATTTGTTTTGCATGCACACGTATAAAAATTTCGGTTTTTATCCAACGCAATCATAGGTTTGAACGTTGTTTTCAATTTAGACTTGTTTATATATATATATATATATATATATATATATATATGAGTCTTAAAGATTGTGTAACAATACCGATATCGGTATTGTTACACAATCTTTTAGACTCATATAATTTTCCCTGTTTGTGTAGTATTGTCAATTTTGATGATCCAATACCTATTAAGTTTACTGGTTGGTAGATTCTTATAGACTCTATATATATATATATATGACTATGACAAAAAGATATATATATGACCGTACAAAAAGAGGAAGAAGATGCATGTCCCAAGGGGCCAAATAAAAATACATAAATCGAAGAAAAACTTCGAACTTTATTTGGCCTTTAAACCTTTTTATTCGAGCGTCACTGATGAGTCATTTGTAGACAATGCGCGTCTGGTGTACACAATTATATGCCTGGTGAGATTATTTACAGGCAATGCCATGTGTTACAGACAATGCCATGTAAAACAAAAACTACAACAAGACAAACAACAGTCCACATAACATTATATAGAAAACTTAAATTGAGCAACGCGAACTCCAACAAAAACTGAGAATGAAGTAAGGTGTTCTGTAAAAGGGAGGATAGTTCCTACTCAACAAGTGGTATCATCATAAAATTCATGGCAAGCGAAATTCAAAAAGTAAGTCGATTTCAGTGATGTGACAATAAAGGAAAATATGACAGTATAGTCACAACTACAAATGGAAAATATCCATGGTCATATGTGTCTAGATAATAAATAACGGTAAAACAACTCATGATGGCACCGGAAGACCTTCACAGGGGATGAATTCAACTTTATAACTATTTAGAGTTGTTGGTTTAATAGCTTGCTTGTAAGCAGAAATCCCCCATTAGGCCCTGGAATATCAACAGGGAGATATATAGTCAACATGCCGGTGATGTTGGAATTTTGTCACGTAAAAATGGAAAGTTCACTATTGTAAAATTGACTGACCTTCATTGTCAGTTTTCTCAATGTTAAGATTTATAAGAACCAGTCTAATTTGTATCTTGTGTAACCTATATTTTGAGTTCAATAGGATAGATGCAACCAAAGAAGTCACAAAACTTGGACATTTTCTGTAAGATTAAACAAGCTATTTGTATATTGTAGAACGTAAATCTAAAGAATAAAGTCAGTCTCTTTTTTATATTTTTCTTAACAATGCCTGTAATTGAAATAAAAGAACAGACCGGCAAAAGAGGACCACAGATACTTCTCATAGGATCGTTTGTTGGCTGTTGAAAACACAACCGGTGTAACGTTAAAATTATGTTGTCAAAAGAAATAAATCAAACGTCTTAATGACGTTAGTTTCAAAGAGTTTGATTTGTTCATTTTTAAAACAAGGATTTTTGATATCTTTGTTTCCTAATGGATTTTTTTTCACGTCTTCTCATCAATCAGCAGTTCGTTACGATTGCTGCAAGTATCTTTACTTACTTTGTACTCTTCCTTAAGCCCCCGTCACACTAGACCAAGACCATGAAGATCCCACTACGATCCGTATAAAAAAATAAGATCGCGGTGGGATCGTACTATGGTCGGCTTGCATATTCAATATTTCATAGTTTTCATGTTTATACGACGACCTTGCTTTGATCCTGATAAGATCCTGCTACGATTCCGCTACGATAGTAACACGTTCTAGTTACGATCATGTCACGCTCTTGCTACGTCTAATTAGACCTTACCATGACTTACTACGAGTCGACTATGATCGAACCACTACTCCACTACGTTGTCACTGATCTCTTCATTTGTCCATGTGTGTCCATGGCTGAACTACAGGTAGAAATTATTGAATCCGTTTTTTTTTTTATATCAACAGAATGAGGTCGTACAATTATCGTGGCTAGGACGTAGTAGTATCGTACTAAGGGCGACAAGCGCGTAGTAGTATCGTACTATTGTCTTCCTCATTGTAGTATAATCGTATCAATATCGTATATCGTAGTAGAAGCATAATAAAGACATAGTGAAATCGGGATAGTTGCAGTGAAATCGTAGTAAGGTCGCAGCGGAATCTTTTCCATTGGCTTCATGATTGCACCACGTTTCCAATACGATGCTTCTATGCCACTCCCGATCTTACTACGTCCTTACTACGACCTTCCTTCGCTTCTACTACGACTAGTTTTGGCCATGACTGCACTAAAAATGTTTTGAGCATGATCATGAAGACCTTAGCACGTCCTTACTACGACCTTACCACGACCACCACAATCTTACTACGACTTCAATTTTTCATAATTTCTGAGGTCGTAGCGGGATCGTAGTCCTAGTGTGATGGGGGGTATTACACAACGATCAAAAATACAAAATAAAGAAGGATTTTGAATCGGGGTCAGGCTGTGTGGTTGTACGTTTCTAAATTCCCATTAATCCAATCATGTCGTGTATGATTCTAAATTTAAAGACAGTTTAAGGAAATAAATCAAAATTTGTTTCATATATAAAAGAATGTCCATCGTAGATGTAAATATTTTGATTAAGGAAGGAGTAAAAAAAAAACTCATTAAAGAGACCATGCTTATAATTTGGAACGCCTGACGCGCGTTTCGTCTACATTAGACTCATCAGTGATGCTGAAATCATGATAGTGAGGAAGGCCAAAACAAGTAAGAAATAAATGAGCATTAAAAACCAAAAAAAAAAAAAATCCAAAATGTTTTGCCAAATTCGGCTCAGGTAATCTATGTCGGGGGTAGATAATCCCTAGTGAAATCGAACTATATATTCAACAATTTTTAAACAATAAATTAATAAAAATGCCGTATCGATGATATCTCACAAAAATGCTGACTACTAGGCTGGTGATACCCTCATGTAAGAAACGTCCACTATCAGTGGTATAAACGCATCAAAGATTTCAGACTTATAAATATAATCATGCTTTTTAAATCTAATTGATTCAAACAAATAATTCTCTAGAATTGACTTGATCAAGATGCTCGATATTTTTATTCACAACATATTTGTTATATTATGTTTGGAGGACGTGTTTCAACTTACAATACGCATTCCTATTGGAACCAATTGTGCTCTTTTTTTGACAATTTGTTCCTTTATTCATATAAGAAACACTTCATACAGGAGTTTTTAAGGAAGAATGAAAAGAAGCCAGTATTATCCTTTGACTTTACGTTCCGCTATTTGAATGCTGACATCTTACTAAATAATTCAAAGTTTGGTGACTAGTATGTTGAATGCACCTATCTCATTGAAATTTAGATAACAGATACCACAGATGCCGTTAAGTCTGCCTCTTATTTTGACTTGCATCTAGAAATTGACTATGAAGGTCGGCTAAGAACAAAACTTTACAAGAAAAGAGATGATTTAAACTTCCAATTGTGAATTTTTCTTACTTATTCTGTCAGCATCTGCTTATGGATTATATCTCTCCCAGTAGATACAATTTTCCAGAGTTTGTGTTTCCTATCATGATTTCTTCAAAGAAGGTTACTACTTTTTGCTTTTGAACCAAGGTTTCCAAGAGGTAAAGTTGAATTCATCCCTTCGAAAGTTTTATTGATGCATTCGTGGACGTAATGGAATATCTATGTCACAGATGACCATGGATATTTTACAATTGTCGTGACCACAATCCTGCCCTTCTACCTCGATGTAACATCGCTGACTAAGACTTATCCCGATTTTGTACATGATCATGAGCAACACGACTGGTCACAGGCTTAGAGCAGGATCTGTTACTCATTTCAAAGCACCTGATATCACCCATAGCTTTGTTTAAAAGAGGTTCGTGCTGCTTTTGCTTTAGTTTTAGTGCTTTTTTTGCGCGTGTTTTTTTTAATATTTTCAATATGAGTGTTGTTTCTACCGGTGTCAGTGTTGTTTATCCTCTGTCCAAAAAAAAAACAAGTTTCAATTTTAAATTTGTCATCAGTTTAAGGGTTAGATCATTTACTGTTACATGACCGATGGTTTACGAGTTTGGGGATATCTTAGGTTTAGTTACATGTAAAAGTCAATTTCCAATCCCCTTTTGCGTGATGCTTTATCAAATAATATAACTTATCAACATACTTTATAGGAGTAACACGGATGCCATATGTAGAGCAGGTTCTGTTCGCCCTTCTGAAGCACCTGAGATCACGCCCAGTTTTTAGTTGGGTTCTTGATGCTCAGTCTTTCGTTTTCTGTGCTGTGTTTTAGACTCTTATTTGTCTCTTCTTCCTTTTTTCGATTTGCCATGGATTTGTCAGTTTCTCTTCTACTAATGAGTTTTGAATGTCTCTTTGGTATCTTCCACCTCCTTTAAAAAAGGGACGAAAGATATCAGAGGGACAGTCAAACTCATAGATCGAAAACAAACTGACAACGCCATGG